AACAAACAGTTCAAACTGTCAGAGGACACTTTTGGATTTCAGATCACATCCCCATTGCTCATAAATAAATATTTTTTCATGGCCTCACAATCAAGTTCTTGATATAATCTTCCTCTGCCTTTGCTTTCACCGAATCTCTCTTGCAGGCGTGTTTGTGTTTTCTCCTGCCTCGACAAATGTGACCGTGATGTTCCCGACTGGAGCCGGGGTGGAGGTACGACTGATAGAGGGAACCATGACAACCACCGTGCTCCTACCAGAGGAGTTCAAAGACTCTACCCTTGGCCTGCTGGGAAACATGAACGGTGACGCCGCGGACGACCTCGTCCTCAGCACCGGTCAACTTGTGCTGAACCACAGCAATCCGCAGGAGCTGTTCAGCTTCGGGGCGAGCTGTAAGAAATCAATGAAACCTTTGATGATTGGTCAGAATTCCTGTGATGTTTGCATTCGATGTGAATCTTTTTTTATTTCAGTTGCATATGTTACACTCTTCAGCCTCCAAAAAACATGAGATATTCATGTGTTAGACTTCTAATGTATGATGGTAAACTGTATATATTTGTCTCTCACAGTAAAACTGATCTTTACTGTGATTCAGGTGAATTTAAATACAGGTCACACAAGTTGAAAGTTCTTCTCCTCACCATTTCTTCTTTTTCACGCTGCTTCCTGTTTGGGCCATGTCCCCTTCATGTGAACCTTTCACTGTGGGAAAACCTGCTATCTGTTCTTTTTCTCTTTTTATGCACAGAACCAGAAAATCAAGCTCATTTATGAAACATCAGCAGATAACGTTACTATATGTTTCTACCTTAACTCCAACATTTTTATTACATATATTAACTGTGTGTCTTTCTTTTCTTACAGGGGCCGTATACAACGCGTCTGCCTTGTTCACATATGATTCTGAGTTTCTTTTGGACACATATTACTACGCTCCCAGACACGACCACACTTTTATTCCAGTGTTTTCTGTCCCTGTGAGTCCAGACGATCCATTAAGCAATCAGGCGTCTGAGATATGCTCAGGAGATGGAGCTCAGTTCTGCAGGTACGCAAAGAAAATGTACTTTCACTCATTATATACTGAAAAAATAGTAGAGCAGAAATCATTGGCCATTGTTTTCATAAATGATTAACTGTTCTAGTAAAGCAGAAATCGTAAACATATGCCAATTATTCTGTCGTCAGAAAGAGTATTTATTGAATATTTAAATTTATGAATATGTAGTTGAAAATAACAACACATCTAAACATGTCACCTTGACTTGGAGAAATTACGATAGAAAGAAAGTAAAAAGATTTACAAAATTATCAACAAAATAGAATCAATCAATAAAATAAATAATCAATAATTGTCATCCAACAAAATAATCCTGATATTGGATATTGAATGTCATCAGGTTTATTTTGACCTGGACTACAAATTGTTAACAGACAACCTGTGTTATAAAGATATGTATATACAGAGTTTGAAAGAAATGGGGATTAAGCTTGTTGCATTTGTAGCCCATAAAGGGACTAAAGGTCATGATGTCTTTCAACTTCTTTGGAATTTCTATTGTCTCTTAAATAATGTTACAGCAGCTCATTTCCTGATCATTTCCTCTGCACCGTAGGTTTGATATCCTGGTGGGTCGCAGTCCAAGGATGGGAAACGCCACCAGAGTGTCTTTCCAGAATCACATCTCTCTTGTGGAGGATCTGAAGCCAGGTCAGTGTCCACATGATGAAGACGTCTAAGTGTCCCATGTTTAGCAACATTTATAAGTTGTCATAGTAACTGTCAAACTCTGCAGTGACATCCTGTGGCCGGCTCTCACCACCTGACAACGGTAAAAAGGAGGGGACCACGTATTTACAAGGAGCGAAGGTTCAACTCTCCTGCAATGACGGCTACACTCTCAAAGGGTCAGCGGAGCGCATGTGCCAGCAGGACGGCCGGTGGTCCGGAGAGGAGACGAGCTGCGTGGTTCCCAGTATGAACAAACGAAATAAACTGAAATCAGTCTTCACCAATGATTTGTATCTTTATAAATCGTGAGTGAATCAGCTCTGTGATTAAAGTGTTGAATGAAGAAAAAAATTAAATCTCTTTCATGACCTTTGATGTGTCCTTTACAAATCTGCAACTTCTGATTGGAATAAAACGCACGCATCAAACTCCATCTGTCATCTAATCACTATGAGGAGGAGAATTATGAAATGCAGAACAGCAACAAAATTCTAGGGACATAAATTGAAGTATTTTTGTGTTGTACGAATTTTGCATCTGACAACTTCCCTCCTCTCTCCTCTCGTATAATCACTGGATTTTTTGTAAATTTTGTTTCAATAGTTTTTTCTTACATTCCTGAAAACAAACCTCTTCAACTATTAAGTGAGCTTTTATAAAATCTGTCAGCCTGTGATGATCGTCCTCTGGATCTGAGCTGAGCCTTTAACAGGGAAAAAAGAAAAGATGAGACATGATACCAAATGATTTATCCCCAGGGGACAATGAACGTCATTACAAAATTGTAATGTTAGTTCAAGAGACTTTTCACTCAAAACTACACATTTCTACCTGATTGTAGTGCGAGAGGAAAAGTCTGAATCTGACAAAACGGAAAGCTCCAGCACATTTAAAAATCGATCCATTCGTTTCAGAGATATTTCAACCTGAAGCTTAAGCTTTCTGCATTGCTCTGAAGTATTTAAAAAGAGGGCCTCAGGATAACATGGTGAAGATATATAATGTTTTCTGTCACTCATGTGCTTTGTGCCAAGAAAACTAGCTTGATTCAGTGTTTGGGGATCCTGGTGACCTTTGTTGCATGACCTCTGTCTTTCCATCCATCCCATCTAGTTAAAATACAATGAATGCATTTCATCAAACCCACTTCATCTTGTCAAATATTGTCGCTTCTGTTGAGAGCCACTGGTTTAAATGCATCTTTGTCATATTTCAGGTAATCTCGCAGGAATTGTGGCCGGTTCAGTCATCGGAGCTCTGGCGCTGATTGTTATTATAACGACAATCGTACTCAGCTCCAGGAAACAGAAAAGGTTGGTCACAGTATCTAAAACCTTCTTTTCCACATGTATAAATGGATTAACTATATATGCTGTGAAGTGACAGATAGGCTGTGTACTGTAGTTCAATGAAAAGTGAATTTTCTCTATTTCATTTTCATTTCATTTTCATTTTTCTAATTTCAGGAAAGCTGCACGTTCAAATCAAAGTGCGAGGGAGGCCTTCTAACCACAGGTTGAGCTTCAATGTGGCCTGCATGTTTATATCTCCACCTACTGATACAATATGTATTATACAATATACATTAATATATCATCAGACTGAACAAAGGCAGCAGCACAGGTAATGAGTAACTCCACATCACATCCTCCATGGCAGAAAAGTATCATTCGATTGACGTCTATAGGTGGAAATGTTTTTTTATGACACCCAATACTACACGACACTCACTCTAAAAACTACAGATTTAGTTTTTAGTGTAAAGCAAGTTTCCTCCTGCAACTGTTTTAACACTCCATTCTTATTTAAGTCAGGATGTGAAAATACTCCTTTCTAAATCTGTGTATTTTCAGAAAACAGAAGTAACAACTGTGAATGAACTGTGTGTGTTGTTTGTGTATTGACCTCAAACACTGATGAATATTATTTAACACTTTATTATTTTCAAAGTTGTCTGATAATAAAGTTCTTCTAATACACTAATACTGTGCAGCTTGTATCTCTTTGTATGACGCACAGAAGCTGTTCCTTTTAAAAGGACACTCCTGTAGTTAATGTAGCACATACAGATTTTTCTCCGTATACTGTGCGTGTACAGTAGTATTAAATGTCACATGGTCGACAGAGGGATGGGACCCTTGTCCCAAAGTGTCACATGATGAGTCTGAGGGGTCATGAGATGATTAACATGCACAAAAGCAAAGTTCAAACATGTGGATTCATTTTTTTCAGATTCTTTTCTCTAAAGTTTCCCTTTTTTGTGAAATATCGAAGCTTTTTATCCCTTTGGGTCACAAACAATTATTTCAATGAAACTGTGTCTACATGATGATTTAAGTCTTTGTTTTGATGCATTGTGTGACAGCTCCACAAGTACGAGAGGAAGATTATGGATATTATCGATGGTTTAGAACTGAATCCTTGCAGAGTTAAACCTCTCTCCTCGTCACATGTGCTGTTCTGTGTAGTTTCCGGCTGTTGTCACCATCACAGGTGATTTCTACTGCCAGGTCACAGGTGTAAAGGGGCGGGGCTTAGGAGAACAAAGAGAGGTGACTTGTTTGGGGGAGACAGGGGGGAGCTGGGTTTGTGCATTTGAGGATAGAACGGATATTTGCTTCATTTTTATGGTGATACCTAACCCACGAGGAATTTGAGAATACAGTGTGAGAAAAGGAACATAACAGTTTTTTGGTCAACTCTCGGTTGGACTCCTATTCCCCTGTTCCTCGGCCACCCTGGTGAGTTCTATTCTTTTGCAATGCATTGTTTCTCCTGAGTTATATTTTTGCATTTTGAAGGGAGGAACTTAACTGAATTTTTCTTTCTTTTTGTGGACATTTTACATGGACTGAGCGAGCTGCCTTTTTTCCCCCTTGTTGGATTTACCTTATGGACATTCAAGTGGACATTCATTATTTTCTGTGAACTTAAGTTTGGGGGAGGGTTATTAATAAATTGTTCGTTGTCATACATTTGATTTCAGTTTAATACTTTACAGTTAACTGGGTTAAAAGTCCCCTGACACCAAAACATCCTCATTTAATAAATAGTGTCACAACAGCTCCTGAATCAAACAAAGCAACTCTACCCAACTATATAAACACTAAACCTAACTTCCAGTGCAACTATTCTCAAATCAAACATCTATTGCTGATATCACAGGACACAAATCAGGATTAGCTTCAATCTGTATCTTTGGTTTAAAATAAGCTCATTTGAATTGATACGATAGTGTTGCAAACAAGTGTCTGATTATCTGGCAATGGCTTCGCTCAAAGCATTATGTAATAACTTCCTCCGAACACTATGTCACCCTTGTTATTGTGTTTATCTGGTTAATACCTGTGACTAATGGGTGTTGATGGAAAAGTTACAGATATTGCCTCATTAATAAACATCATTCCTCTCTGATGGCGAATAGCTCATTGATTTATTCCTCCAAAGCTCGTTTCATTATTTGTACGACATAACATGAAGATGCTGTAGATGTCAAATTCCTCAGCTCCACTTCACCGCGTCAGCCTCTCAGCCCGTCACTTCATGTTGGATGTGAACACAACTTATCATGATAATATAGGATTATTATTTTACATATAAATATCCATCAAGAAGTAGTGTTTGTTTGGTCTTGAGGTTTTTTTTTACTTCAGGCTTGGGTTTGGACACAGGGTTTAACTCGATTGTTTACTGTGTGACTGTGGATGTACGCGCTGTTCCCTCACATAACACAAAGCTGTGATTTCTATGGACAAAGAGCACCGGTATGTGACAAGACTGTAGAGGCCACCACTGAATAAACTGTCCAGAGTCATTCGCCAACAACTTGCCACAGACACTCCAGAGATATAAATACAAATAATTAGCATTTCCCTATTCAGGCTCCAGGGCAACGGAGGAGTAACCTCCCAGCTGAGGACATACCAAAACCTTCTCATCACCTAGATCCCAGTCGCTGCTGGACATGTGTTAAAATGAGTCAGCCGGGTATATATGCCAAATCAGGCCCCTGCTCACCCAGACAACAAAAATACAGCTGCTCTATTGTTCGGTGTCCAGGTCATCAATCCAGACCTGTTTGTCAGGGTGGAGCTACGGGCTTTGCATTTTCAACAACCCTCTCATCGACTCAGAGCTTGTTTTCTGGGATATGGGCGAACAAAATAAAATACTATCCCGTCCCATTTTCCGCCGAGATGTCAGCTGGGATCCTTTTCCAAACTGGACGCAGCCGAGCCGCATCTTCACGCAGGATTTTGGCCTCCCTCCTTTTCTGGAGCCCAGTGATGTGGACTGGATAGACTGGGCACAGAGGAGGCTGGCCTCGTTCTCCTGGCCTGGGTACACACAGACTCCGCTTCTGCCTCCGCTCGATGGTAACGCAAAGGGCCCGAAACAACTGACGAGTGGGGTGACAGAGATCCGCACTGGGCAGGACGGCTGGAAGATTAACCTGGACGTCAACCACTTCTCACCTGAAGAGATTACAATCACAACCAAGGAGGGATACCTGCAGATATCAGGTGATGCCTGTTCTTCTTTTAATGAATCGTGTGATGAAAACTAAGTAAACGCATCATTTGCAATTTGGAAATTGAAAGCAATGTGTAATGTTTTGTTTTTATATTGTGTTTTACTTACAATTTGTTGTTTTCATTTGAAGGAAATCATGAAGAAAGGCAAGATCAGCATGGATCTGTGACAAGATGCTTCAACAGGAAATACAAGTCAGTTAAATGAATCTGTGTAATTTCACATCTCTGGGATATTTTTATATTAGATTGGTTTAAAAAACACGTGACACAGAAGTTTACTTTACTCTGGTCCAGGCTGCCGCAGGGGGTGGACCTGCAGCACATCAGCTCATCCCTGTCTGGTGATGGAGTCCTGTCAGTGGAGGCTCCCGTTCCCGGAACGTCCGTCAGCGAGCCGGCCAATGAGCTCGTCATACCTGTTCAGATCAGACAGAGGCAGGATGGAGACAAGTGAAACCAGCAGAGCGAGATGTAGGTCAAGTTAGCGACCTAAGTAGCACTGACTGAAGTTAGTTACAGCTTACTAAATGTGATTTCCTGTAACTTGCTTGTTTTCCTGTCATGAGATTCTATCTGCTACTATAATGCACGATCACCACTACAGTAACAAATATATGCAAACTCACCAATGTAAAAATAGGAACTGATTTTGAGTCTTAGGAATATTTTTGCATGACAGCATTTTCTGATTGAACATGTGTATTAGTGATTTATGCATTTCCATTGATGCCATGTCCTCTACAGGGCAGAATAGCTGAATATAGAAATGACTTGGTTTGAGTTTTCATTTGCTTTAAGGCAGAGAATCTCTGGAAAAGCTGCAGTCTTCAATTTAGATTATTTTTTATTATAATATATAATAATATAATTTTCAACTGTATTAAACGGCTCCTACCATAAGAATAATAAAGGTACCTGTCTCCTTTCATTGCTGATGCATCTATGAGCAAATTAAAAGATTAGAAGGAACCAGTTCTCTTTTATTTCAATCATTGCTCATCTACTTCTAAATGGTAGATTGAACGTGATCCCTGAAATCCTGTTTACTCTGATAATCACCCACGTATTTCCTCTATATGAGATGTTCAATGTAGATGTTTATCAGGTTTATCACAAGAGATTAAAGGTTCTCTGTTTACTTTTAAGTTTGATAAGAATCTGAAAACGAGTACCTTTTAATTTCGTGTGAAACTCTCATCACACTTAAAAGCAAACATTCAGCTTCATCCATGAGACGCAGAGCTTCACTGACGAAGGCCAGGTCATTCAAAAGTAAACAGTGACACCTAGTGTTTGGAGTTTTATAGGACACAAGTTATTGTTCAGCCGTTTTCAGATATGACCTGTGGGTAAAGTTTCTTGTATGACATCACAGGGATTAATGTACTAATTGAAATAACTGATGGAAATAAAAGAGGTAATGTAAAATAATTATAGAACAGAATAGAAATACGAACACAAATATAAGGGTGTGTGATTACTTGGTTGGTTTCTTGACTTTATTTGTTTGCAATCCAACCAGGTGTCTGCTATAAAAAGTACCATATAACTGTTTCTGAAAAGTTTAATTCTTTCTTTCTTTGCTTTGTTCTTTACTGAAAGTACAAAAAAAAATTTCCAGAGGAAATTTCAAGTACACCATTTTTAGCGGAACATCATTTTTATTAACATTTAGTTAAGTTAGTAGTGAGTGATATGGAGGCTCTGGGTGGTTGTTATATGTAGAATGTCATATGTCACTGTGTTTAGTTGTGTTTAGGTTACTATGGTATTTTCAGTCTCTGGCATTGTAAGGTAGCTGCTAGCTGTTCTGCGGAGTAGCTAGAGTTGTACTAGGTGGTAGCTAAAAGTTCAGTGTGTAGAATTTAGTGGTGACATTGCATTTTGCATCTGAACACCCCCCACCTCACCCTCCCCTTCCAAACATGAAACAGAACCCGTGGTAGCTTCAGTTGTCATAAAAACTCAAAAAGTTTGTCCAGTCTGGACTAATGTAAAAAAATCTTACACACTGGACCTTTAAGTGTTGGACTATGCAATACCCCAAGCAGCCACAGAGAAGCCATAGAGCTGATCTTAATAGCGCTGTACATAGCAGCAGTAATGACATCACACATATGATGAGATATGTTCACCAGAGAGAGACAGAGACTGCATTTTAATATTTGTCTGTTGCCACATTAAGCAACAATAGAAATGATAAGACGTTAAAGAAAGCATGTTTATGGATTCTGCTTTATTATTATTTATTATTGCACATTAATTGTAATGCTAATAGTCCACAGAGGATGGTAGCATGGTCTTATGTTCCCATTTCTTTACAAGTTTCTTTTTGTAAAGTTGTATATTTATATTCAACATTTATATTTCGCATTTAGTTTTTCTTAAACATTTATATTCATATTTTGCATTTTTATTTAACATAGGGATAACAATTAGATATTATTTAAGATTTGTGCAGTTAACATTCATATTTACATTTAACATTTACATTCAAGAATCACATTTATAGTGTGAGATAATATATCATTCTATAATTTTTACATTACTGCAGAACATTACTTTAAATGCATTAAATTATTTTGAAACGGTTGAAATTTGATTTTAAATCTGGCATAGCTCAATGTGTTTAAACTGGGGAACTAAGATTATATTCAACAACAGCCCTGTGCATATAAAGAAAACATGTTCTTCCCACATGACAACACCTGATTGGTATTATTTCTAAAATCCACTGAGTGTGATGTGGAAGTTTGGTCCTGCTGAGAGGAGGCTGTAGTATTGCGGTGTCTCTTTAAAGGAAGGGGGAGTGTAGCAGGGGACAGAGGAAAGAGATGAATAGAAGGCACCAGAACCACCTACCATGACCAAGTGCGCTGTAAATGTAGGACAGAAATTCGAGTGGAACACAAGCGGATCGTCAGGCGACAGATTCGGGGAAATAAAAACATGTTCGGATGCGCCTCACCGTCTGACTCCAGCGTTTTTACCCGCGGCACCACATGCGATCATGGGCGCACAGGAGAAGTCTTTATCCTCCCAAACATTTCTTGCGTTTTGAGGCGGAAGAGAAGAGTGGCAGCAGAACACGTCCCCGTGCTCTCCGATTATCAATGGTAGGCATTGCATAATTCACCCTTATCCACCGGAGCCATTTGGTTCCTCCTCTGTGGGAAGAGAGGGGGGGACGCCAGAAAGCAAAAAAAAAAAAAGAAAACCCGACTCCATCCTGTGGCTGCCTCTTTTTTTTGGTGCTGCCTTGCACAATTGTTTGGCAATGCCCTCTTCTCTCTTAGGAAGGACTTGCAGACAGTAGCCGGGGGGAATGATGCATTTGACGCTGGATGTGTGCTGCATTCAGGGAGATTCGCCAGTGATCGCGGCTCAGGCAGGAACAGCGAGTGCGGAGGGCCTGGGAAGCACCCAGCCCCACGATCTCCCCCTTTTCCTCCCCCCCTGCAGGACCATGCTTGCGTGAGGGATGAGGCTGTGCACGGGGACACCAGGCCAGAGCTGCGGCCTACTTCTCACAAGAGCCGGTCTCCCGACTGCAAGACCCGTGAACACATCGCCACCACCATCAAATCAGCATCTTTGGTACGCAGCTCCCCTCTCCCTGCATGGAAAATAGGGCTACGTGTGCGAGTGCACGCGGACGGGGCGCGCGCGCGTGTGTGAGAGCGAGTGAGTGTGTGTGCGTGCGTGCGTGCGTGCTGGTGGAGGGGAGGGGGGTGAGGAGGATGAGGGAAGGGGGTGTCTGTGTTCTCAGCTGTACATCTGTAGTCATGGCAACCGTATCCTGTTAATGGATGTCATTTTTCCATCCTCAGCTTCCCTCTCTCTGCCTCTGCTTTTATGCATTCGTACGAACGTCCATGTGCAAATCTCTGCTCGCCGTCTGCCGCTAATGGGATTTAGTTTGTGTTGAAGGGTGCTTTTCCACACGTCGTCTCAGATTGTTGGGTCACGATCCCAGTGTTTGAAATGGTGTGGATATTCCTTGCTAATTGGAAAGCACACTGTAGTGAGTAATTGAATGATTCATGTAGAATTTTGAATGGGATCTAATAAACTTTATTTATATGGAACCTTTCGAGACACAGTTGCAAAAGGTGCTTTGCAATTCAGAGTTGAAAAAAATTGGAGGCAAATAAGGAAATGGATTGAAAATCAAACAATAAGAAAAAGTTTAAAAGTAAATCAGAGAAAAAGAGAAAAGGTTACGGATGAGAAAAGAGGAAAAACAAGGTGTTGCCAGAGCCCTGACAGAAAAGAGCCGGTCACCCTTGGAGGTCAGATTATGACCGAGCATATATGGTGTCAAAAGAAATGTACTTTGAGGTAAGTCCAGATCTTCAAAAGTATGCAATCAAATCTTAAAATGATTCAAAAATGTACTGGAAGCTAATAGCAGATTTGGTGAGGAGTCTGGACGAGCTGTAATTTATGTAGACTCAGGCAGGTGGAGAGAGAATTTCAATAATCCAAACAAAAGGGAATGAAGGCATAAATGACAATCTCTAAATTTCTTCTGGATAAAAACACGCTGATCTTTGAAAGTTTCCTGAGCTGCAAAAGCATGACTGGACAACTGTGTTTTTTAATGGGATTGAAACTGTTTTATATTGATTATAAGTGAGACTTCTGCATCACCTTTTAAAGTCTTATGTTATCGTGGATCTGTAGACTCGTTACTTTTCTTTGAAAGAGCTCTTCTTTGCCTCAGTAGTGCATCTGGTCTGTTTTTAGGCCACAGCCTCTGACTTACCAGCTGTCCCTCTTCCTTCCCCCCCCTTCCCGTCTCCTCCATGGCAGTTGTGTCTCTCTGCCTGCTCTGTGTCTTTTACTTCCCGCCTCCTGTGTTCCTCTGTCTAGGTCATCAGGTAGATCCAGGAGCATGAGCAGGACTTTGAGCTGCGGGAGCAGATGTCTGGGTATAAGCGCATGCGGCGGCAGCACCAGAAGCAGCTGATCGCCCTGGAGAACAGGCTAAAGGCCGAGATGGATGAGCATAGGCTCCGGCTGCAGAAGGAACTAGAGACACATGCGAACAACACTTACATTGAGCTGGAAAGACTGGCCAAGCGGCACGCTGCTCAAACAGACAAAGAGGTACGGCTCTCTGGGTGTTTCTTATGAATGAGGTGGAAATGAAACAGCGATTTCATTCACTTTAAGCTAAAAACTATGTTTGTCAAGACATTTCTGGTGAAATTTCTAAATGTCTCCTCACAGATGAAGTCAGTTGCATCAGAGGAGAGGAGGATCCAGCAACAGATTGTTGCTCAGCAAAAGAGAGAGCTGACGTCTTTCTTAGACAACCAGAAAAAGGAGTACAGGCTTTGCAAAGACAAGATCAAAGAAGTAAATATCATGAACAAAGTTTATTAAGCTATTCGTCATGTCGCTCACATAGTAACATGTTCTCAGAGGATTTCATTGTGTTCTGTTTTGTTGTGTCTGTGTTTCTGTGTTTGTTAAGGAGATGAGTGAAGACGCTTGCACACCCAAGGAGGAGAAGCAGGAGCGTCTGTCCAGGCACAAAGAAACAATGCAGCGCTCTCAGGCTGAGGAGGAAGCTCACCTGCTGGCCCAGCAGAGGCTGGTCTACGACCGGAGCTGCAGGGCCCTCAAACGCCGGAGTCTGGTCAGGAAGCACGAGTTTGAACAGGAGCAACTGAGAGAGGTAGTGAGACTTCATGACATCAGAGCCAATCAAAAAGTTGGATGACAATTTAAGGATGAATTGTGTTTTAAAAGACCATGAAATAGCAAGAAACCTCCAAATCCTGTCAATCCGTTTGGGTGCATATCGTTCCCTTTAACATTGCAGCTATTTTTAGAATGGAATCTTGAATGACCAAAAACAAGCTTGTGAAGTTAAAAAGGATAGGACAGAGCTCCCATGAAGCAAAACAAGTCTTAAGGTTTCTAAGTAAAGTAATCAAATGAATCAACTTCTTGTTCCAGGAGCTGAACAAGAAGAGGACCCAGAAGGAGATGGAACATGCCCTGATGATCCGGCAGGACGAGTCCACACAGGACCTGGAGCGCAGGCAGCTGCAGATGTTGCAGAAGCTGCGCATTGAACTCATGCGGCTGCAGCATCAGACGGAGCTAGAAAACCAGGAGGAGTACAACGGCCGGCGGCAGAGAGAGCTGCACAGGAAACACAGTCTGGAGCAGCGGCAGCAGCCCAGAAACCTCAAGGTGCCTGAAGAGTTTTCTTTACCAGTGTATTTGGTTATTTAGTGAGTTGATATCCTGACATCATGTTCCCTGTTTCTTTTATTGTTCAAACTAGTTTTTCCATATTTTTACCATCTGAATGTAAAACATGAAAGAACAGGACACTAAAAGGTTTTCTGTCTCCCTCTGCAGGCGCTGGAGATGCAGATCAAGAAACAGTTCCAGGACACTTGCAAGGTGCAGAACAAGCAGTACAAAGCTCTTCGGAACCATCAGCTGG